TGGGGTAACAGTGTATGGTCACAATACTGGGGTAACAGTGTATGGGTCCCAATACTGGGGTGACAGTGTATAGTCACAATACTGGGGTGACAGTGTATGGTCACAATACTGGGGTGAAAGTGTATAGGACACAATACTGGGGTAACAGTGTATGGTCACAATACTGGGGTGAAAGTGTATAGGACACAATACTGGGGTAACAGTGTATGGTCACAATACTGGGGTGACAGTGTATGGGTCCCAATACTGGGGTGACAGTGTATAGTCACAATACTGGGGTGACAGTGTATGGTCACAATACTGGGGTGACAGTGTATGGGTCCCAATACTGGGGTGTCAGTGTATAGTCACAATACTGGGGTGACAGTGTATGGTCACAATACTGGGGTGTCAGTGTATAGTCACAATACTGGGGTGTCAGTGTATAGTCACAATACTGGGGTGACAGTGTATGGTCACAATACTGGGGTAACAGTGTATGGTCACAATACTGGGGTAACAGTGTATGGTCACAATACTGGGGTAACAGTGTATGGTCACAATACAGGGGTGACAGTGTATGGTCACAATACTGGGGTAACAGTGTATGGTCACAATACTGGGGTGACAGTGTATAGTCACAATACTGGGGTAACAGTGTATGGTCACAATACTGGGGTGAGAGTGTATAGTCACAATACTGGGGTGACAGTGTATGGTCACAATACTGGGGTGACAGTGTATAGTCACAATACTGGGGTGACAGTGTATGGTCACAATACTGGGGTGACAGTGTATGGTCACAATACTGGGGTAACAGTGTATGGTCACAATACTGGGGTGACAGTGTATGGTCACAATACTGGGGTGACAGTGTATGGTCACAATACTGGGGTGACAGTGTATGGGGTGACAGTGTATGGTCACAATACTGGGGTGACAGTGTATAGTCACAATACTGGGGTGACAGTGTATAGTCACAATACTGGGGTGACAGTGTATAGTCACAATACTGGGGTGACAGTGTATGGGGTGACAGTGTATGGTCACAATACTGGGGTAACAGTGTATGGTCACAATACTGGGGTGACAGTGTATAGTCACAATACTGGGGTAACAGTGTATGGTCACAATACTGGGGTAACAGTGTATGGTCACAATACTGGGGTGACAGTGTATGGGTCCCAGTACTGGGGTGACAGTGTATGGTCACAATACTGGGGTAACAGTGTATGGTCACAATACTGGGGTGACAGTGTATGGTCACAATACTGGGGTGTCAGTGTATGGGACACAATACAGGGGTGACAGTGTATGGTCACAATACTGGGGTGACAGTGTATGGGAGACAATACTGGGGTGACAGTGTATGGTCACAATACTGGGGTGAAAGTGTATAGGACACAATACTGGGGTGACAGTGTATGGTCACAATACTGGGGTGACAGTGTATGGTCACAATACTGGGGTGTCAGTGTATGGGACACAATACTGGGGTGACAGTGTATGGTCACAATACTGGGGTGTCAGTGTATAGTCACAATACTGGGGTGTCAGTGTATAGTCACAATATTGGGGTGACAGTGTATGGTCACAATACTGGGGTAACAGTGTATGGTCACAATACTGGGGTGACAGTGTATGGTCACAATACTGGGGTAACAGTGTATGGTCACAATACTGGGGTAACAGTGTATGGGTCCCAATACTGGGGTGACAGTGTATAGTCACAATACTGGGGTGACAGTGTATGGTCACAATACTGGGGTGAAAGTGTATAGGACACAATACTGGGGTAACAGTGTATGGTCACAATACTGGGGTGAAAGTGTATAGGACACAATACTGGGGTAACAGTGTATGGTCACAATACTGGGGTGACAGTGTATGGGTCCCAATACTGGGGTGACAGTGTATAGTCACAATACTGGGGTGACAGTGTATGGTCACAATACTGGGGTGACAGTGTATGGGTCCCAATACTGGGGTGTCAGTGTATAGTCACAATACTGGGGTGACAGTGTATGGTCACAATACTGGGGTGTCAGTGTATAGTCACAATACTGGGGTGTCAGTGTATAGTCACAATACTGGGGTGACAGTGTATGGTCACAATACTGGGGTAACAGTGTATGGTCACAATACTGGGGTAACAGTGTATGGTCACAATTCTGGGGTAACAGTGTATGGTCACAATACAGGGGTGACAGTGTATGGTCACAATACTGGGGTAACAGTGTATGGTCACAATACTGGGGTGACAGTGTATAGTCACAATACTGGGGTAACAGTGTATGGTCACAATACTGGGGTGAGAGTGTATAGTCACAATTCTGGAGTGACAGTGTATGGTCACAATACTGGGGTGACAGTGTATAGTCACAATACTGGGGTGACAGTGTATGGTCACAATACTGGGGTGACAGTGTATGGTCACAATACTGGGGTAACAGTGTATGGTCACAATACTGGGGTGACAGTGTATGGTCACAATACTGGGGTGACAGTGTATGGTCACAATACTGGGGTGACAGTGTATGGGGTGACAGTGTATGGTCACAATACTGGGGTGACAGTGTATAGTCACAATACTGGGGTGACAGTGTATAGTCACAATACTGGGGTGACAGTGTATAGTCATAATACTGGGGTGACAGTGTATGGGGTGACAGTGTATGGTCACAATACTGGGGTAACAGTGTATGGTCACAATACTGGAGTGACAGTGTATAGTCACAATACTGGGGTAACAGTGTATGGTCACAATACTGGGGTAACAGTGTATGGTCACAATACTGGGGTGACAGTGTATGGGTCCCAATACTGGGGTGACAGTGTATGGTCACAATACTGGGGTGACAGTGTATGGTCACAATACTGGGGTAACAGTGTATGGTCACAATACTGGGGTGACAGTGTATGGTCACAATACTGGGGTGTCAGTGTATGGGACACAATACAGGGGTGACAGTGTATGGTCACAATACTGGGGTGACAGTGTATGGGAGACAATACTGGGGTGACAGTGTATGGTCACAATACTGGGGTGAAAGTGTATAGGACACAATACTGGGGTGACAGTGTATGGTCACAATACTGGGGTGACAGTGTATGGTCACAATACTGGGGTGTCAGTGTATGGGACACAATACTGGGGTGACAGTGTATGGTCACAATACTGGGGTGTCTGTGTATGGTCACAATACTGGGGTGACAGTGTATGGGACACAATACAGGGGTGACAGTGTATGGGTCACAATACAGGGGTGACAGTGTATGGGTCACAATACTGGGGTGACAGTGTATGGGTCACAATACTGGGGTGACAGTGTATGAGTCACAATACTGGGGTGACAGTGTATGGTCACAATACTGGGGTGACAGTGTATGGTCACAATACTGGGGTGACAGTGTATGGTCACAATACTGGGGTGACAGTGTATGGGACACAATACAGGGGTGACAGTGTATGGGTCACAATACAGGGGTGACAGTGTATGGGTCACAATACAGGGGTGACAGTGTATGGGACACAATACTGGGGTGACAGTGTATGGTCACAATACTGGGGTGACAGTGTATGGTCACAATACTGGGGTGAAAGTGTATAGGACACAATACTGGGGAGACAGTGTATAAGACACAATACTGGGGTGAAAGTGTATAGACACAATACTGGGGTGACAGTGTATGGGACACAATACAGGGGTGACAGTGTATGGGTCACAATACTGGGGTGACAGTGTATGGTCACAATACTGGGGTGACAGTGTATGGTCACAATACTGGGGTGTCAGTGTATGGTCACAATACTGGGGTGACAGTGTATGGGTCCCAATACTGGGGTGACAGTGTATGGTCACAATACTGGGGTGACAGTGTATGGTCACAATACAGGGGTGACAGTGTATGGGACACAATACTGGGGTGACAGTGTATGGGTCACAATACTGGGGTGACAGTGTATGGTCACAATACTGGGGTGACAGTGTATGGTCACAATACTGGGGTGACAGTGTATGGGACACAATACTGGGGTGACAGTGTATGGGTCACAATTCTGGGGTGACAGTGTATGGTCACAATAAAGGGGTGACAGTGTATGGTCACAATACTGGGGTGAAAGTGTATAGGACACAATACTGGGGTGACAGTGTATGGTCACAATACTGGGGTGAGAGTGTATGGTCACAATACAGGGGTGACAGTGTATGGGACACAATACTGGGGTGACAGTGTATGGGTCACAATACTGGGGTGACAGTGTATAGGACACAATACTGGAATGACAGTGTATGGGACACAATACTGGGGTGACAGTGTATGAGTCACAATACAGGGGTGACAGTGTATGAGTCACAATACAGGGGTGACAGTGTATGGGACACAATACTGGGGTGACAGTGTATGGGTCACAATACTGGGGTGACAGTGTATGGGTCACAATACTGGGGTGACAGTGTATGGATCACAATACAGGGGTGACAGTGTATGGTCACAATACTGGGGTGAAAGTGTATGGGACACAATACTGGGGTGACAGTGTATGGGTCATAATACAGGGGTGACAGTGTATGGGTCACAATACAGAATAATACAGGAATAACTAAGACATATACCATAGAGTGCTAGACATGCCAGTAGGATCTAAAACCTGTACCGGCCTGTCAATCATGACGTCATAATGACGTCACACACCTGCCCACATATATATAAAACACAACATTGTATCCCTGAATTTCATTAGGTTATGTTAGCTCAGGTTAGGTTTGATTAAGTTAGATTAGTTTAGGTTAGGGTAAATCATGTTAGATGAGATTATGTGTGATTGAAGAGCAGCAATGACGTAAAACATTACAAACTTTTCTCAGGTGGTAGACCCTAATAGCCTCGCCACGACCAGTTGCGCGGGAACTTGGGAGGGACAATATGGCGGTGTTTACCTCCATGTTACCATGGCTGTGGGTGAGGGAGTGGGCGGCCTGAACCCACTCCAGTATAAACTCCACCACCGTGTGCACCACTAGTGCCCTCATCCGGGTATACACACCCGTCTCTTGTATTTCCCTTGGGATACTTCACAACACGCCTCAAGTAAGTCATCTCTCTCCTGGTGATCTGTTCAAGAGTCTTCTCTTAACTTATAACTCCAAGTAACTTGCTAATTTTGGTATAAATTTTGTATATATTAATGAAGGTTTTGAGGCCATTAACGTCAGGAAAGGTAGAGACAGCACGCGAGGCTCAGGTTGTGTACCGTTGTCACGACGCTGGTTCGACTCCTGCCTCACTCTCACCTAAACACGCGTCGTTCCTTAAACACGACGTACCGTTCCTTAAACACGCGCCGTTCCTTAAACACGCGCCGTTCCTTAAACACGCGCCGGTCCTTAAACACGCGTCGTTCCTTAAACACGACGTACCGTTCCTTAAACACGTGCTGTTCCTTAAACACGTGCTGTTCCTTAAACACGTGCTGTTCCTTAAACACGTGCTGTTCCTTAAACACGCGCTGTTCCTTAAACACGTGCTGTTCCTTAAACACGTGCTGTTCCTTAAACACGTGCTGTTCCTTAAACACGCGCCGTTCCTTAAACACGCGCCGTTCCTTAAACACGTGCTGTTCCTTAAACACGCGCTGTTCCTTAAACACGTGCTGTTCCTTAAACACGTGCTGTTCCTTAAACACGTGCTGTTCCTTAAACACGCGCCGTTCCTTAAACACGCGCCGTTCCTTAAACACGCGCCGTTCCTTAAACACGCGCCGTTCCTTAAACACGCGCCGTTCCTTAAACACGCGCCGTTCCTTAAACACGTGCTGTTCCTTAAACACGTGCTGTTCCTTAAACACGCGTCGTTCCTTAAACACGACGTACCGTTCCTTAAACACGTGCTGTTCCTTAAACACGTGCTGTTCCTTAAACACGTGCCGTTCCTTAAACACGCGCCGTTCCTTAAACACGTGCTGTTCCTTAAACACGCGCCGTTCCTTAAACACGCGCCGATCCTTAAACACGCGCCGATCCTTAAACACGCGCCGTTCCTTAAACACGCGCCGTTCCTTAAACACGCGCCGTTCCTTAAACACGCGCCGTTCCTTAAACACGCGCCGTTTCTTAAACACGCGCCGTTCCTTAAACACGCGCCGTTCCTTAAACACGCGCCGTTCCTTAAACACGCGCCGTTCCTTAAACACGCGCCGTTCCTTAAACACGCGCCGTTCCTTAAACACGCGCCGGTCCTTAAACACGCGCCGTTCCTTAAACACGCGCCGTTCCTTAAACACGCGCCGTTCCTTAAACACGCGCCGTTCCTTAAACACGCGCCGTTCCTTAAACACGCGCCGTTCCTTAAACACGCGCCGGTCCTTAAACACGCGCCGGTCCTTAAACACGCGCCGTTCCTTAAACACGCGCCGTTCCTTAAACACGCGCCGTTCCTTAAACACGCGCCGTTCCTTAAACACGCGCCGGTCCTTAAACACGCGCCGATCCTTAAACACGCGCCGTTCCTTAAACACGCGCCGTTCCTTAAACACGCGCCGTTTCTTAAACACGCGCCGTTCCTTAAACACGCGCCGTTCCTTAAACACGCGCCGTTCCTTAAACACGCGCCGTTCCTTAAACACGCGCCGTTCCTTAAACACGCGCCGGTCCTTAAACACGCGCCGTTCCTTAAACACGCGCCGTTCCTTAAACACGCGCCGTTCCTTAAACACGCGCCGTTCCTTAAACACGCGCCGTTCCTTAAACACGCGCCGTTCCTTAAACACGCGCCGTTCCTTAAACACGCGCCGTTCCTTAAACACGCGCCGTTCCTTAAACACGCGCCGTTCCTTAAACACGCGCCGTTCCTTAAACACGCGCCGTTCCTTAAACACGCGTCGTTCCTTAAACACGCGCCGTTCCTTAAACACGTGCTGTTCCTTAAACACGTGCTGTTCCTTAAACACGCGCCGTTCCTTAAACACGCGCCGTTCCTTAAACACGCGCCGTTCCTTAAACACGCGCCGTTCCTTAAACACGCGCCGTTCCTTAAACACGCGCCGTTCCTTAAACACGCGCCGTTCCTTAAACACGCGCCGTTCCTTAAACACGCGCCGTTCCTTAAACACGCGCCGTTCCTTAAACACGTGCTGTTCCTTAAACACGCGCCGTTCCTTAAACACGCGCCGTTCCTTAAACACGCGCCGTTCCTTAAACACGCGCCGTTCCTTAAACACGCGCCGTTCCTTAAACACGCGCCGTTCCTTAAACACGCGCCGTTCCTTAAACACGCGCCGTTCCTTAAACACGCGCCGTTCCTTAAACACGCGCCGTTCCTTAAACACGCGCCGTTCCTTAAACACGCGCCGTTCCTTAAACACGCGCCGTTCCTTAAACACGCGCCGGTCCTTAAACACGCGCCGTTCCTTAAACACGCGCCGTTCCTTAAACACGCGCCGTTCCTTAAACACGCGCCGTTCCTTAAACACGCGCCGTTCCTTAAACACGCGCCGTTCCTTAAACACGCGCCGTTCCTTAAACACGGAGACAGATATTGAAATGAGTAAATATGTATTTGAAAATTAAATATTTCCATGTCGTATCTGCTTTTCGGAGCTGAATAACTAGATCCAGATTTCGAGCACCAATTTGTTTCACAGGCAAAGATAATAAAAACACGAGAATTAAAGAAACTGCAGAATGTCTATTGGCCCAAACGAGGCAGCTTCACATTTCCACATTTCTATAGAAACAATTTGAAAGTCAAAATTTAAATATCAAAGTATTTCTCTAAAATACTCTTTCTTTGAAAGAGTATTTTAGAGAAACCCGATTCTCACTTTGTGTATTTTATTGATCTCGTTTATTTCAAACATTATAGGCCTAATTTTTATCGAGGCCAAGCTAGGTTCCGGAATAGTTCTTTATTTAAAATAACTGATTTAATTATAGATCAAATTTACAAGTTTGTATCGCGTATTTATTTTGTTTAGTGATGGGATCAAAGCCTATCAAAATCTGGAAAGTTATTAAGGCCTAGCAACATTTAGAGAGTTATTAAGGCCCATAAACCCAAGGATGGTTATTAAGGCCTATCAATCTCTGAAGAGTTACGAACGCCTATGTACCTCTTGAGTATTATTAAGGCCAATCAAGGTCCGGAGGGTCATTAAGGCCTATCAATCTCTGAAGGGTTATTAAGGCTTATCAACCTCTGAAGAGTTACGAACGCCTATGTACCTCTTGAGTATTATTAAGGCCTATCAAGGTCCGGAGGGTCATTAAGGCCTATCAATCTCTGAAGGGTTATTAAGGCTTATCAATCTCTGAAGAGTTACGAACGCCTATGTACCTCTTGAGTATTATTAAGGCCAATCAAGGTCCGGAGGGTCATTAAGGCCTATCAATCTCTGAAGGGTTATTAAGGCTTATCAACCTCTGAAGAGTTACGAACGCCTATGTACCTCTTGAGTATTATTAAGGCCTATCAAGGTCCGGAGGGTCATTAAGGCCTATCAATCTCTGAAGGGTTATTAAGGCTTATCAACCTCTGAAGAGTTACGAACGCCTTTGTACCTCTTGAGTATTATTAAGGCCTATCAAGGTCCGGAGGGTCATTAAGGCCTATCAATCTCTGAAGGGTTATTAAGGCTTATCAACCTCTGAAGAGTTACGAACGCCTATGTACCTCTTGAGTATTATTAAGGCCTATCAAGGTCCGGAGGGTCATTAAGGCCTATCAATCTCTGAAGGGTTATTAAGGCTTATCAACCTCTGAAGAGTTACGAACGCCTATGTACCTCTTGAGTATTATTAAGGCCTATCAAGGTCCGGAGGATCATTAAGGCCTATCGATCTCACAAGGGCTAATGAGCCTCAGAAGGATTATTGAGGCCCATCAACCTCTGCAGAGTTAACAAGGTCTATTAACCTCTAAAGGAAAGGAGGTGAATGGAAAGCCATTAGGTGAAAGGAAACTTACCTAACCATTTCTATTCCACCTGGGAATCGAAGCCACTATCCCCGACCGTAAGTCGAGAACGAAACCAAACATACACCGAACTGGCTTCGTTGGCAATATGCACCATCGTATAGCCGTACACTGCACATCCTCCATGTTGTTTACTGTACTAAATGTTAATCAACACACAAGTGGTAACAAAGTTTATATGGTAATGCACACAAGCGCCACGGACGCTTGTGTGCATTGTGGACGTTCAATAGCACGAGCGCCAGGAACACAACGGAAGCTGACGGCTACATTACGATGCTCTCAGCCAGCTAACACCTTCCTGGGCGGCCCCAGAGTAACGAGGGATTAATATACACTCCACGCTATAGTGGCCATAGCAGTGTGTATAGCATTATTGCGTCAGTATGCTGGGCTAGAGCAGTGTGTATAGCATCCCTGCCTCAGTATGCTTGGCTGGAGAAGTATGTATAGCATCCCTGCCTCAGTATGCTGGGCTAGAGCAGTGTGTGTAACATCCCAGCATCAGTATGGTGGCTAGAACAGTGTAACATCCCAGCATCAGTATGGTGGCTAGAGCAGTGTAACATCCCAGCATCAGTATGGTGGCTAGAGCAGTGTAACATCCCAGCATCAGTATAGTGGCTAGAGCAGTGTGTGTAACATCCCTGCATCAGTATGGTGGCTAGAGCAGTGTAACATCCCAGCATCAGTATGGTGGCTAGAGCAGTGTAACATCCCAGCATCAGTATAGTGGCTAGAGCAGTGTAACATCCCAGCATCAGTATGGTGGCTAGAGCAGTGTGTGTAACATCCCTGCATCAGTATGGTGGCTAGAGCAGTGTAACATCCCAGCATCAGTATGGTGGCTAGAGCAGTGTAACATCCCAGCATCAGTATAGTGGCTAGAGCAGTGTGTGTAACATCCCTGCATCAGTATGGTGGCTAGAGCAGTGTAACATCCCAGCATCAGTATGGTGGCTAGAGCAGTGTAACATCCCAGCATCAGTATGGTGGCTAGAGCAGTGTAACATCCCAGCATCAGTATAGTGGCTAGAGCAGTGTGTGTAACATCCCTGCATCAGTATGGTGGCTAGAGCAGTGTAACATCCCAGCATCAGTATGGTGGCTAGAGCAGT